CCCCAAACCCCCAAAACCCCAAAACCCCAAAACCCCAAAAAATATTCTAACATTGAATAAATTATATATATAAATGAAAGCTCAATATAATTGTAATCCTATTCTCTCACTTGTTAGCAAAACCAATGAGCCCATTCTCTATCAGGATGCCAGGGACTACGAGCTCGTACGGTACTTCTCGCCGTAGTAACCGTTCAAAAACTCTTGTACGCTTATTCCTGACCTTATTTAGTCATTTCCCAAGGAAGCTAAATAGCCGTCACTCATCAAACAACTCCTCTGGTTCATTGATACTCTTCAGCATCGATATCCGAGAGCATCGGCTAAATCCCCCTTCTGTTAATAACGCTTACCAGAGGAGGCACAAAAGAGTGTGCGACATGAGAAAATAAGCTAGCTAATGGTACTCTCTTCTCTAACCCACTAGGTCCTATAAAACGACTCAAACTGCTATCAAAGAAGATCAAAAAGTACTTTCTCCCCAAACCCCTAGGCATTGCACAAATCTCTAAATTCCAGCTAAAAAGCAACTTTTCTTCCTCACTGAGCCACAAGGGAATTTCTAGCCGGCCAGTGGCAAATTTCAAAAATTTTGGTGCTCAAAATGGGGCTTTTAAGGATAAATCTATCATTGTGAAGTCAAACAAGGTCTCTTTCTATAACCCGGATGCACTGGAGAGGAAGCATGGAAGAAAGCTTGAGAAGACGAGAAGTGTGGATGCGAATATGTCCACGAGAGAGAATAGAACGAGTAAGAGAAGTGTTTTATCTGTAGAGGGATGTAGATCATTCCATGCCTATGTACAAGCTGAGTTAGAGAAACGAAGAGGTGCCAAAAAGATTAAGGGTGAGTTGGTCTGGGTGGCCTTGAGAGAAGGTTTTGTGCTGGGTAGCTGTATTTTAGTTTGAATTAGAATATTGTCTAGAAGGAATAAAAGTGAAACAGTTATATTAGAACTACTACAGCTTTTCTACCGTCATGATAACTTCTCATCCTCTGAAAAACTGAACAAGTGTCTATAGTTAAGAATCACTCTATTACCAAGAGAATAATGCTAGACCTTGAACAAAAAGGTTTGAAAGACCCTCATAGCGTTAGTGCAAATTCACAATATCCAAAAATCAAACTCCATAAAATTCTGAACTAGGCTCAATTTCGGTAACTCTTTTGGGGTTTTGGGGTTTTGGGGTTTTGGGG